TTCCCTTTTTCCACAGCCTCTCCAGCATTTATCGTTAGTGGACTTTTGAATGATGGTCTTTCTGACTGGTGTGTGGTGATACCTCATTGTAGTTTTGATTTGCATTTCTCTGATAATTAGTGATGTTGAGCATTTTCATGTGCCTTTTGGCCATTTATATGTCTTTGGTTGTCTTTATTTTCTTAGTCCCTTCCTAAACTGCTTCTGGCCTTAGGGTTTTTGCCTGTCCTGATCACTGAAATAGCTTATTCAAGTTATCCTCATAGTTGGCTCCTTCTTGTCATTCAGATTTAAGCCCAACTGTTATTTCCCCAAGAAGGACTTCCGTGACTAGCCAATTTAAAGTGCACCCTTCCTCTTCAGTCCTTCATTGTCACTTTGTTTTATCTTCATAACACTATGTTATCTTCTTAACACTTCATAAGAGTATTAATTATTTGTTCACATACAACATTGAAAATTCCTAAGACTAGGAATATCGTCTGTCTTGTTTACCACTGTACCTCCAGTGCCTGTAGGTGCTCACTAAACTTCTTTAACCAATGAATGTATCTCACTTTATTTCTGTTTTTTTTTTCTGGTTTCAGAAATAGTGAATGCATTTGGTAATGGCCAAGTAGCAACAGAGTGGCACGGTGGGACTAATAACTCACATACAAAGTCCACAGCAGGCAGAAAAACAGAGGTCTACCCTTGGAAGTCAAACTGCAATAGAAAAGATCAAGAGTTTTTCCACTTCTTTTCTGAGGTCACTCCCCAGTCTGTAGGCTTGCTGACTTGAAGAGTTAGGGGAAATTGTTTGGGACTGATGGAACAGATTACTTAGGGGGTAATCTTAAAAGGAGGGAGCCACAGAATGAGTGCATTCCAAAATCAGTGTTCGGATGCAGTCTGCTCACATCCTTAGATGACAACCAAACTTTGTAAGCACTGGAGAGAACCCAGTGGCCCTAGTGGAAAATCACTGGCTTACTTACTCTTTCTTTTTCTTACCTTACATGCCTTATTTTGAAGAAATTTTTAAATCATTCCACTATGTTATTTCAGTGATTAGGAAATGCAACATGTATATGTAGCAATGCAAGGACATTAGAACACCAACTTCTTTAGTGTCCTCTTCTGATCTATTTTTGTTTTGTCATTAATGTAACTGTTTTTAACCCCTCAAGAAAATAACTGCATTAGATAAGAATAATATCCGTTTAGATTTAGTTACATATTTCTCAGTTTCTTTTTTTTAACATTTTTTATTGATTTATAGTCATTTTACAACGTTGTGTCAAATTCCAGTGTTCAGCACAATTTTTCAGTTATACATAAACATATATATATTCATTGTCACATTTTTTTCTCTGTGAGCTACCATAAGATTTTGTGTATATTTCCCTGTGCTATACAGTATAATCTTGTTTATCTATTGTACAATTTTGAAATCTAGTCTATCCCTTCCCACCTTCCGCCCCCTTGGCAACCACAAGTTTGTATCCTGTGTCTATGAGTCTGTTTCTGTTTTGTATTTACACTTTGTTTTTTTGTTGTTGTTGTTTTTGTTTTTGTTTTTTAGATT